AGACGCTCCTTGTCAATTTTTACATCAAGAGAATACAATATAGTGTTACGTTTGACAGCAGGACAAAAAAGCATCACTGAGCACTTATCCTTATTGAGCTTAAGATTGTTACCATTTGAGTATCCTACTATTGCCTCCAAATCATCATTAAGCTCATTGATTGAAGTATGCAAAGTGTTACTATTAAAGCTCTTATATATCTGTGTATCATCGGCATAGCACATCACAGAAGAGTTTTTCACAGAGCTACCCAAGTCTATAGTATAAATTAAGTACAACAAGTGCCCTAAAACTGAACCCTGAGGGACACCTGATGTTATATCAATCGGACTAGATATAGTGTTGTCTATCTCTACTACTTGTTTACGATTTGAAAGATATGTTATAAAAAAAAACATTAGAGGTATGTCTGAAAAACCAAAAAACTTCAATTTAGCACATAAAAGCTCATGATCTATTTTATCGAACGCCTTAGAATAATCTAATGATACAAGTGCTGAAGCATCTCCCTTATCAAGCGAAGCAATGTCATCTAAAACACTTGCTAAAGCTGAAGTTGTACTAAAACCACTGCGGAAACCAGATTGACACTTGGGAAAGAAATCATTATTAGAGAAATAATGATAAACCTGATGTTTAATCAATTTCTCCAATATCTTCGATATAACAGGAATTAAAGGTATAGGTCTTAAGTCTGAGAGACATTTTGGATTTTTACATTTAGGCAAGGGCTTGACAAGAGATAGTTTCCAAGCATCAGGGAAATACCCAGCCTCCAGGCAACAGTTCAATAAATGCGTCAGGGGTAGTAATACTCGAGGCAAGCAAAGCTTCAGCATTGAGACTGTTATACCATCCGAACCTGCTGCATTAGATTTTAGGGACAGAATAATGTCTAGTACATTTTGTGGGGTAGCAAAACTAAATTCAAATCTAGCACTTTCATTAATTTTGGTACTATTAAATTTATCAACTAGATCCTTGCAATTGCCCGAAGGCGTGAAAACGGAAGAAAAATAATTGTTTACTTCATCGGCATTCTTCAACTGTGTAGGTAAAGATCTATCTACATTAGTTTTGAGTTTCAATGAATGTACAGCTTTCCAGAGATGTTTGTTACTATTCATTCATTCATTTACGCAAAGTTTTCACGTATTTATTTTTACAAATTGGGATCGTGCTGCGACTTTATTAGACCTTGCTTCCAAAATTTTGACTACTGTCGATGTCATCAACCTTTTGTTCTGCTTCTGCCTAGGCTTTTTTTCTAAATATTTGTTCTATTAACTTAAACAGTTCCTATTAGGGAGCCTAATGAACTTTTAATTAGAATTTAATTATGCCTTATCATGCTTCGGTTCACTTTACTCTGGTAATGTCTGAGTGATTTAATAATGCAGACTTATACCATGAATAAAGCATTTATTAATTTCTTCTGTTTTGCTGAAAGGTAGCTGTTACTGTTCGTTGAGAAATCTGATATAATAAAATCTGCATCGAGTGACTCGGATTACAAACGGGTCTAATACAAGCATCCTTTCATACACTCCGGATATGTTATTATGTTATCAATCAAAGATAAGTTTCTTCTCCACTTCACCAATAATGAAATAATGACACTCGTTGCCTGTTTACATTTCTCAGCCGGAAACACATAATCCATTCATGGCTTAACCATTCTCACTCACTGCCGTTAACAGCTCCGCGCTGTTGTTCCTCTTTAAAGTTTAAAATTCATGTCACTAATTTCCGTAATGGTTGTCTCGTTTTAAAACGGTCATTTTGGGGCGCGTAATTTTAGCACAGTTTTGGGTTAGCGAGGGCTAAAAAATTGGGCACGAAAAGCAACAGTAATAGAAAGTAACCATTACATAAATGTAGGTGCAGTTAATTTTGTAAAGGTATGTTCTAAAAAAAATTCAAGACCATACCATGTACCACCATGTACATGAGGCATATCTTGATCTTGTAGAATTGTTAATCTTCATGAGGACGATCACTCCTCCAAACGGTGGGTTCGTTCTTCATAAGCCATCACAGCTAAATACCTGATCCCTACAATTTAATTTTATTCTCCAACATAATGATCTGGTTAAGCATCCAGGTATATAGCTAAACGTTTTTCGGAGACGTTAGCTGGAATTCCGAAAATAATTCGATCCTTAATCCTATTATTGGAATTTGATGTTTATTGGTTACTGGAAGGTATGGGATTTTCCCACAGGAATACAAAACTCATTGTTTCTCTTCAAAACAAGGATCGGTCACTTTTCAATGCTGTAAATAGGTTGAATACTTCTGTTTTGTGTCTTGAACGTAGACATTACTTCTCCAAAATCATTCATTCTCCAGACCCGTACCAGAAGCCTAAAATGTTGCGTCAATGGTGACTGGAACCTACTACTTCCTACTCGGAAAGGTTTTGATTTCTCGAAGCCCGAATATTTTTTAATGGACCTTGACAGCGCTTAAGTACGTTAAGGAATTTATTGTGTCAAATCCGCTTATTCTCTGCCTAAAATCTAAATTTTCCAAAGACCATCGATATTATTCGAAATATGTACCTTTACCCGGGTACCGAAAAGGAAGAGAGCAGCAAAACACATCGTCCACCACTGCCTGCGCAAAAGTCATTGAATACAGCGGGATATGCGTTAACTGTCTTTGTCAATTCAAAAGCATACCACGCAGCAGCAGTAGCACCCTGCTCACTTCCTTTTCGGTACCGCACTATAAATGAAATGGTAGGCCTCCAGAACCAGCAGTGTGATTATCCTCAAAGAAGGCAGATAATTGCCGCCTGTTTCGACATAAGAATACTATGCAAAATCCTCAACCAATCCAGCAGAACTTAATTTCATAATCTATTCTCCAGTCAAGACAACGATGGATATCAGATCTCGAGTCACGCTATCAATTCGTAAGTCATAAACTAAACATAAACTTGGTTGGATGTGTATAGAAAATGCTTGCAAGTACCATATAGCAGTGTTTACACATAAGATCATATCTTCTCGATCCCCCTTGTATCTTTATGAGAAATTTGTTTTCAGACGAAATAATTCAGACATTGAGTTCAGACACAAAAAAAGACTAGAGATCCCTATGTATAAAACAACTTTATTTCGTAGTTCATACACTTACAATGCTATCCTGATTTATAACGAATTAGATGACAATATAAAGGATTGGCCAGTAAACAGATTTCGTAAGCATGTGAAACAGATTTATTTGTCATTGTAGTAATTGTGGAAAAGTTAGTTTTTAATTCTTACATTTTATTTTATTTTACGTAATATATGTGTGTATATATGTATGTTAGGAAGCTATCAAGCTCGTTGTTTTGAAGCGTCTTTTGCTGCTTGTCAAAGTTTCCTTTGATTAAGTATTTCAATTTATTATTTGGGTAGGTTAAGTAGAGTAGCCAAGAGCTAGACTTCGCCTACGTAGAGGTCACATTATGTTGTAGTTTATATAATGTGCCTAATAAACACATTTTATTATTATTATTAACCAATCTCAGATCGACTTTAACTGAAGCTGCGAATAACATCCTCCATTTGTTTACGCTTAGTTCAGACCCACTCATCTCTAACACTTCCAATCAATTGAACCCTATAAACCACCATACCATTCTTTTTTCTTGGCTTTATTCTTCCTCGGGCTAAACCATTGATTGCACATTTTACGGTCACAAGAAAAACTGCACATCCGTCTAATAACTCATGAGGACCAAAGTAGGAATCCGGAGAAGTTGGAGATTTGAATAGGGTGCATAAACATGTTTTTGCTCTTGAAATTATTCCAGTGCGCGTTTTGCCTCTGTCCGAGTTTGAGATTTTCTCTCGACAATTGGGCTCAGTGAATCAGCTCGATCTTCAACCGTCAGCGTGGGCCCAGTACGAATTTTGTGGTTCGGACCCCAGAGATCCTAGATCCGCCACTACACCTCTCCTTTCACTTCAACTCATTCTTCCTGAACCTGAACCTTGGATTACAAGCAGCATTGATCCTTTAATCAGACTCCATACCCTTGACACAGTGCCTTGCATATAGCTTTCCGCTGTTGAACCTGTGGTTCCTACTATCTGAAACCGTAGCCTTGCCAGGCCTTCACAGTGACACAGGAGATGCACTAGCCTAAATACTGGCCTTCGTTGTTTGATGAACTTTTTTGCCTGCCTTTGCCCTATTTGGCTATTCCACCATTCTAGGGTCTTTTACTTAGTTCAATTTCGTATGGACTGTTTAGGCCCGTATCGTCAGTCGTCCCTACAATTGTAGGGCGCCTTTATGGCCTCCTTGATTGTCATAGTTTTCTACTTCTCCGTGTCAGCACTCTATTTTGAGGTGTCACAAACATCTATTTGCATCAAATTGTGCTTGCTTTTGAGTTATATCATGTTTGATCACCCTCAAATTTCCTACAATTTAAAAAGAAAACATATCTTCATAATAGGAGAGCGCTGACGCTGACACGGGACAAGTGTAATCTAGAATTTCTTGAAGGAGAGAAAGGAGTATGACAGTCAAGGAGGCCATAAACGCGCCCTACAATTCTAGGGACGACTGACGATACGGGCCTTAGTGCGTGTCCTCGACACGCTACAGAAAGGATCTGGCCTATAATGCGCCTAACTAAACCTCAAGTTAACCTCAAAAAAAACCGCGCATCCTCCGCTAATGAAAATTTAGGGCCGCAACAAGGTCCAAACAAGTATTCAACCCGTAACATTTCAACGAGCCTGCAATGTCCTGTCATAAGGGCTGAGGCGAGATAATCAAAAACTCTCAGGCTCCAGGGTTTGTTGTAAGTCTGAACACAGTGGATCACGCTGAACGCTCTTGGAATTTGGGGATACCGACCAGGGCAATTGTGCAGGGGATCGAAACCACTGGCCCCGAACTAAATATTCACACTTATACGATGAACCACTCCTCATTGCTAGAGGAATCCGCTTCTATTTAACCACCATTTACACTGTACACACATCACTCACCATTAGAATTTCCATCCACAGTACCGCCTCCTCCACTTTTCTTCTTCGTCTCATTCTTCCTCAAACTGAACCTCAACCCGGTTAACCTCTGGAAGAACCCGCCGATCTTGCCCGATCGTTTCCGGCCGCGTCCGGCGATCTCTTCGCGTTGCGCACTCGCCGGCTGCATCGCGTCGACTGAGCTCGCTCCTGCCAACTGCGATTGATGTTGCGCGTTGCCGCGTTGCTGGTGCGCCGCTGCGGCTCCCAGTAGGCCCTGATCCAAGTGGGTGTGGCGGTACTGCACCCCATCGGAGTCCACGTACGCGCGCACCACCGCGCCATCCTTGTCTTTCTTCACCAGCTGGCTGCCTGCAAAGAGAGAGATGGAATCAAAACAAACGGCCTGACAGGAAGGAAACGCACACGGGTACGGTACGCGCCCTGCAAGTAGGAAGCGGTAACGGCAGAGGAGCGTTCATTCAGTTTTAGTGGTACCGCAGTTTGGCGGAACGGTACTTATTATAATGATGCTGTTTGAAATGAAATTACCTCGCGTGTTTTTCGCTGCTGTATACACGTTTTTTTGTCGAATTGCTTCCATAGTTTACATTACGAGTAGTACTCATCAGACACATGGACTCACAACAAATGGCAGTGAAACGAGTACGAGTTTGGTATGCGCCCTGCAAGTAGGAAATGGTAGTGGAGTGTTCATATTGACTTGACATAACGGTATGGTAAGAGTGAGTTCTGAAAATTCATTTTTTTTCACAGCTGTCTGTGCTCAATTCTTTTTGGAATACATTTAGGTATAACATTGATAACGTTCACACTTGGTACGACCTGAGTAAAAAAACAATTGAAGTTCAACTCATCTTACCACTATAATTACAGTTTCTTCTGTCGATAGTCAGAATCAGTAAAAATTTTTCAAACGCTAATTTTTTGCTGGTCACAATGACTTGATTCCATGCTGAAATTATATTAATAAGGGAATTTGCAAAACGTCCTTGTGGTAATTTTCAATGCGAATCAATACCAATATCAATCATACGTGGTAGACGGACTCTGACTGTCGAACGTGAAGGTACTACCCAACAGATCTCTAAGGCGGGGCACATGTGTATCCTCTTTAGATTCCGTAAGGCGTCTGACTCCCCATTTCCCCTGTAATCCCCTATAGACCCACGGTATTCATGGGCCTTAGGCCTTCGTAGTATATGGTATATACATGAACAGCTGTTTAGCCGAGTTGAGGGCAAATATTAGCAGACGGATGGACAGGCAGATCGACGTAAATGTGACAATAATAATGATAATAACAATAAAATAGGTTCATTGATATATAAATGTACATAACATCTTATCCCTGATAGGGATAAATCTATTCAACTCAACCTACTACAATAATAATATTGGTAACTGAGGAGAATGTAATACTGCAAAATACAAATATTGTGAAACGTACAAGAAATACATATTCAATAATTATATAAATATGTCAGACTAAGAAGATACTATGAAATTAAGCCACAATAAATGGATGAAAATCAAAATACAATAAGATGAAAGGGAAAACCGAATCAGTCTGCTAACGCTAACGTTGTAGAAGAAGCAGTTTGGCTTGCTTTTTCTTATTATTTACCGACAGAGTTTTCAAATGTTCGCTTGCATCATTGTATATTTTAATAAAGTTATAAATAAACAAACGACGGAAAAATGTAGTGCTTTAGTAATGTTGAGCCTCCTCACCAATTCTAGTGAGAAGAAGAAGCTGGAGAATAGTTCTATGAAAAAGTACATTCATTCTCTCTCAACATAAATGGCAGAATATGCAGCTTTCTAAGAGCAGAGTATTTTCCCACGCACACTAATATCCGTCATCAGCTCAAACCTGGTTTAACAAATAAACTACCATCCTTAGTTGTTTTACATTCAAACCCGTCCAGTCAATGCATGTATCGACATCAGCCGTCTTATTTTTCTGTATATCAGAATCCTTGATCATATGCATTGTTCACTTCTGAGAAACGCTGCCAATGTGTCCTTACATCCTACGACTCACAATTTAATCGTTTCATTACAACAGATTTACATGCAGTTGTGCAATTACTGAATGCATGATAAATTGTGGCGCCCTTTCACCATATTTGGAAATTCTAATGGTATATCGGAACAGCTCCGTTGTTACTTCCCACACTCATCCGAGGAAAATACTATGATTGCAAATAATTGTAGTGATAATGTGGGGTAGTGTAATTTAGCAGCTAGGCCAAAAATAGCCAAGTGAGCTAAAAACAAAAGATGCCGTATCGTCAGTCATAGGACGCATTTATGGCCTTCTTAATTTTCATAGTATTTTCTCTCCTACAGAGAGGCTGGGGTACTTCTAGATTTCTACTGTTTGGTGTCAGCGTCAGTGCTCTCCTAATCCTCCTAATTGTGTTTTGTTTTAGAATTGTAAACAATTTTCGGTTGATAAAGCAGATGATAAAATCAAAAGCATGAACAAGTTGATGTAAATAGATATTTGTAACATAACCTCAAAATAGGGGGATTTTCTGAAGGACAGGGAAAACTACGAAAATCAAGGAGGCCACAATTGTAGGAACGACGGTATGTTTGTATTTTTTGGTATGCTCTTTTTATCGAAAATTGAATAAATATGCTTGTTCTTCTTTTTTCGATATGATTTTCAGTAGTCATCTCTTAAGACTGGGTGTCAAGGAGCACCTAGTCTACGATCTTCAAACTTTTAGTCCACTTGTGACTAATCTAGATCAATAAAAACGTTTACAGGTCCGTATTAAGAACTAAAGGTTTGCGGTTGCGTATTCACATATTGGAGAAATTTTCATTGAGGAAGTCTCTCAAATTTAGGCAGTTTTTGATTTCATGAAGCAGGGGCCGGCTGATTGTCTTTTGGTGTAACGAGTTTGTAAGCTTTGCAGTCCAGAACTGCATTTATTTTCGCGTTAGTATCACAATCGATTCGATAGAGACTTCCTTAATGAAAATTTCCTCAACCTTTACTTCTGAACATGGACCTGGAAGTATATTTTTGCTGGTCTACCATATGCCAAAAGCTCGTCAAGAAGATTGGATCTAATGATGCAAATTTTCACAGTGGTAAAAGTAATAACAAAAATATTTTCTTATCTCCTATTTCTTTAAATAACATGATAACAAATTTAATAGTATTGAGATTAACATCGACAACGTAAAACGTAGGTTCTCCCGCAATACAACTCAACAGTGCAAAATAGTATAATAATTCAGAATGTTAATAGATTGACGGCAAATTATCAATATTTGACTTCAGTTTTGTAAGAGATAAGCGCAAATCTCATCGGTTTGCAATAATCAATAAGCTCCACTTTTCTGAGAATAGATTTTTAATACCACTCAAATCTTTTTTTAATAGGTACGTGGAGGGAAACGCTATCAATAATTGTCTCACAATTTCCCAGAGTTCATATTTTTCTAGTATTTCTGTCAGTAAGTTTCAAATTCAGATTCTATTAGTACTAACTTAGACCATCATTGTGTATTTTGTGGACCACTCCAGATAAAGTATCTGATCGATTGTCTGCTTAAACAGCAAAAGCGGATCGTCGGTATGAAGTTTATGTGCTATTTTCAAATATATGAACGAAATTCTGAAACTCCAACATACAGGGTGTTGTTTTTGGATAAAGTGGTTTTGACAAATTTTAACTAGTAGAGACCTGCATTTTATTCCTATTCGTGTCTCAGTCGATATGATAGCATGAACTGAGTACGCATACCGAGTCTCAGAAAAATATAACAGGATATAAAAAATTGTAACGCCACAAAGAAATGCCAAAATCAATAAAACTTGGTTATAAGTGACCAAAGACCAAACAATCATAGTTTATAATCAACTCAGTGGTCTCTTTCTTCGGTCAAGATATGTCGCTCTCCCAATGAAAGACCCTGAATAAATACTGACAAAGAAGAAAGTTTGTCAGTTTTATTTCCCATTTACTCTTGTGACAGGAAAAACAGACACTCCAAACAAAACTTTTTCACACAAATGGACCTGGATTTCCAATTTTTGGGTTCACGGAATTAGGAAACCGTTTCTTTTGCTACCAGACTTGTACAAAATGCGAACTTTGGATTTGAGGATTTGCGGAAAATGTGGAGTATTTTTTTGTCAGCTACACTTACTCAAAATCGCATTCGCGAGAGAACTCTTTCAACTCAATTTTTTTCAACAAGTACGTTTGTTGAGTGCTCCTTGCTATGCATAAAAATGTATCCGGCCAGTAAACCAGATAAAATATGTCGAAACATTTTTTTAAACAAATTGAAAAAAATTATTGCGCTCCGACTATATTTTTTCTAGTTTTTCAGATTATTCTGGACAACAAAGGTCCTTAGTCCTTTTCTCTAAAATTGACCGTTTTCAAGTCATTTAATGTCTGAAAACCTCATTTTGAATGATTAAAATTTCGTCCAAAAATCATTGTTTTTGAGGTTGCCAAGTATCTAGTCTAAAGCTAACGCCTCTCCCTACAAGACCTTGAAGATTATTTTAAGACTAGTTTACTATGAAGCAATTTTTAGCCTAGCTTGTTACACCAAACCCTTGGTTTTCGCAGCACATACGACATAAAACCTGAACGCTAGATTCTGCACATTCACCATAACTGAAATAATGAGCATCCACCATATTTGCTATGAAAAGAACTTTCACAGATCCGGCATACTTTAAAAATTAGAGCGGTTTAGGAAAAAATAGTTGAGGTCAGCAATATACATATAATACTGAAATGCTTTTACTGTTTCTGGAAACAAACGGTTAGTAAGGATCCGAAATGTGAAAAAATGTTCTATTTCTAATTCGCCCGAACTGCTTTGCCAATGAGCGTGCTTCAAATATTGAAAAAATCCATTTCACGATTATTAAAAGTATTTTTCATAACTGCATGATAAAGACAAAAAAGTTGAATTTCCTGATTTTTTTCGGTATTACAGTAGCTACGCCAACAAAAGATAATCTTATTTATATGAAATCACTGCGTATGCATCTCACCAGGTTGATCTGAATCGAACTTGCATCTAATTAGCAGCTTACATAATTTAGCTATTAATGCATGTAGGCAACCAACTGTGCTCTATTGGACAAATAATCGTGTGATCGTCTCTGATGAACCTCGATTTTGAATTAAATTTTTCTAAATCAGGTTTTTTGGGTTTTTCTAATAATTTGTCACTATTTACTTTACATACGCCGAGTTTTTTTTTATCTTGATACAATTCTCTAATCAAAGAAAAATAGAATACGTACTTCGAATGAAAACTATACTAAGTGACATATAAATCCGAACATCCAGTTTAAA